CCCGAGGGGCGTCGCCATCCTTCGCCCCCGCCAGCTCGTTGGAAATGGCCGCCTCCGCGAGCAGCCCCTCCGCGCCCGCCAGCGGCGACGCGACGCCACAGAGCGCCCCGGCAACCGGGGCGGGCCCGTCCTGCGCCTGCGGGGCGGGGCCGCCTCTGAAAGGGCCGCCTGCGGGGGGCACGCCCGCCGCTGCTAGTGTCAGCCCAGGAGACGTCGGCGCGTCTGGTCTCGGGTGTTTTGAGCTGGAGTCTCGCTCTGTCGCCCGGGCGGGAGCGCAGCGGCCGCTTCCGGCCCCCGCAGCCTCGGCCCGCGGGGCTCCGGCGATCCTTCCGCCTCAGCCTTCCCAGTCGCTGGAACTACGGGCGCGCGCTGCCGCGCCCGGCTGATTTTTTTGATTTGTTGTAGAGTTGCGGTCTCGCCAAGCGGCCCAGGCGGGTCTCGAACCCGCGGGCTGCGGCCACCCACTCACCTCGGCCTCTCAAAGGCGCGGGATTACAGGCTGAGCCACCGAGCCCGGCCTAACTTTTGATTTATTGTAGAGACGAGGGTTCGCCAAGTTGCCCGGGCGGGTCTCGAACCCGCGGACTAGGCAGTCCATCCGCCTCGGCCTCCCAACGTGCTGGGATTACAACTGAGCCACCGAGCCGGCCTGGTCTTCCGTTTCCTACGTGGTCCTCAGGGGCAGGCAGGGCCGGCGTGTACTTCCTTTACATGAATGGGAGCAGGCAACACGCAGACACCAGTCCTCGTCCTTCTCCCAGGACCTGTTACACTTCAAGGCCGTGAAGCAAAAGCCAGCATGGGCAAGTGCCTGCATCTGTAGTTTCTCGGGCCTCTTTCTCCTGCCGTAATTTCCGAATTTCCCCCGTAACATGAGACTCCAGCCTCTTGGAACACATTTATTACCTAGGGGGTCTAAGCCTAAGCAATGAAGGTAGACAGGAAAAGAAGAGGGACCGGGCGCAGTGGCTCATGCCTGTAATCCCAGCACTTTGGGAGACCGAGGTGAGAGGCTTGCCTGTGCCCACAGGTTCAAGACCAGCCTGGGCAACTTGACGAGCCCTCATCTCAACAATAAATCCAAAAATTAACCGGGCATGGTGGCGCGCTCCTGTAGTTCCAGCTAATTGGAAGACTGAGGTGGAAGAACCGCCTGACCCAGCAGGTCGAGGCTACAGTGGCTATGAGCACTCCGGCCTGGGCAACAGAGTGAGCCTGCAACTCAAAAGAAAGAAAAAGAAAACGAGAATGGCTTCACTCAAGATAAAAGTCCTCATACTCTGATACCAGGCCCTGGGCAGCTACACTGGAGCCACGTGATGCCATGTCAAGGAGGGTCCTGGTAGGTCTGAAGAGATTGGGAAGGCGGAAGGGACAGAGTTCTAAAATGGAGGCAGAAGCCAGGGTCGGTGGCTCAGCCTGTAATCCCGCTCCTTTGGGAGGCTGAGGTGAGTGCATTGCTGGAGCCCGCGGGTTCAAGACCCACCTGGGTAACTTTGGGAGAGCTCACCTTTACAATAAAATAAATAAAATAAAATAAAATAAAATGGAGGCAGAGAAAGATGAAATAACCATCTACATGCACTTATTTACCCAATCCCCATTCAAACAAGCTTTTTGTTTTTTTAACCCCAAATAAGATAAGGCTTGGGGAAAATCAGCAAATATCTATTGTGTTCACTATTTCGTGGCACCCACTCTGTTGTCCAGACTGGAATGCAGTGGCACATCATAGTTCACTGCAGCCTCAAGCTCCTGGGTTCAAGCCCACCTCAGTCTCCCCAGGTAGCTGGGGCTGCAGCCATGAAACACTGTGCCCAACTTAGAGTTCATGTTCTTAACCGTGATGCTGTGCTGCATTTTTGTTGTATAAAATGGATAAAGTTATGGAGTTTGACACTCCCAAACATGACTATATTAACAAGGAGTTTGGAAAAAATGTTATCAGTGACTAGGTAGGGAAGCTGAAGTTTGGGTACACCAATCAGACAGCTCCCCAAAGCTCCCTAGGGGCCTCATTTGAGCTAGATTTGGCTTGGCCATCTCTGTGGGCCTCTCCATGGGAACCTGTTTTGTTTCTTGCATTTATTCTCATGTCTTTGGGGCCAAGACCATTTTTGCTGATCTCTCTTAAAGAGCCTAAACAGTTCAACAGAAGCTCAGTGACAGAAATATTCTACATCAGCACTGTTCAATACAGCAGCCACTAACCCCATGTGGCTGCTCTGCACTTGACATGTGGCTCAAGTGACTGAGAAATCGCTTTTTAAATTTTACGAAATTTCAGTTAAAATTTAAATTGCCATATGTAGCTAAGGGCTGCTGTGTTGGACGGCGTGGGCCTGGAGGGTACCGTGCAGGCTGTGTGCCTCAGCACAGAGTCCTTTCAGAACTTTGTCTAGCGAATGTGAATATTCACCCGAATCACCCTGAACCAAGCGGCAGCTTCCTCTGGGGAGTTATCCATAAGCCTTCCCCCAGGAACTGTGTTCCCTTTCTAGGGCCTTTCATGAAGCGCTGCTTGGTGTCCCTTGCTATTGGATGTTCACCTCCAGCTGGAACAGGCTGCCCTCCAGGCGTTGGTGGAAAATCTCTGGAGAGCCATAGGCTCCAGTGGCCAGTTCCCTAGGGATGGGAGGTTATGAGCAAGAGAGAACTCTGGGTCCAGGTCTGCCCCTGCATATGATCATGGATATGTGAGATGGTCACCCTGGTTGAGGACCACTGCAGACTCCTACTCTGTATATCAACAAACACTGGGCCGCTGGTCAACCAGAGCTCAGTGAGGCTCAGGATGACATGACATCACAAGCAGCTCTGTGATCCTGCCCGAGGAAGAGCTGCCTCTGCATATGGTGGCCATCCTGGTTGATGTTCTGGTTATCTATTACTGCATAGCAAACCACCCCCAACATTTTTTATGAATTAAGAAAGGTTATTAAAGGGAGGATAAGTTGTGAAAGGCATAATAGGCAGGACAGTAGTGAGAGTGTCTATTGTCTGCCACCCCCAACGTTTTTTGTTTTTTGGGGTTTTTTTGAGTTGGAGTCTCATTCTGTCATTCTCACAGCCACCGCAGCCTCGACCTGCTGGACTCAGGTGATCCTTCCACCTCAGCCTTCCAAGTAGCTGGAACTACAGGTGTGCGCCACCACGCCTGACTAATTTTTTGATGTATTGTAGAAACGAGGTCTCACCAAGTTGCCCAGCTGGTCTCGAACCCATGAGCTCAGGCAGTCCTCTCACCTTGGCCTCCCAAAGTGCTGGGATTATAGGCGTGAGCCACCATGCCCAGCCTCAACATTTTTTTAAAAAATCATTGAAAAAAATCATTTTGTTCATGAATCTGCAATTTGGGCAGAGTTCAATGGTGAATGCAGTGTGAGCTGGGATGGCTCAACTGTGGGTTAGACATTCTACTTCCAAGATGGCTCACTCCCATGACTGGCAAGTTGGTGCTGTCAGCCGGGAGCTCTGCTAGGGGCTGAGGACCAACGGTCTTGACCCTCTCCAAAGGCTGCTTGGGCTTTCTCATAGTGAGGTGACTGGGTTACAGAGAAAGCATCCAAAGTGACAGAAAATGGAAGATGCTGGTTACTTAGGGCCTGGGCCTGATAACCAGCATAGTGTCATTTCTGCTGTATTCTGTTGGTCAAGTAGTCATAGTCCAGATTTAAGGGCAGAGGACACAGACCTCCACCTTTCTTTTTTTTTCTTTTTTCTTTTTTTGAATTGGAGTCTCTCTCTGTTGCCCAGGCTGGAATGCAGTGGCATACTCACACGTCTACCCCAGCATCGACCTGCTGGACTCCGGTGATCCTTCCGCCTCAGCCTTCCAAGTAGCTGGAACTACAGGCGCATGCTACCACGCCCAGCTAATTTTTGATTTATTGTAGAGACGAGGTCATTGCCTGGGCTAGTCTTGAACCCGCAGGCTCAGGCAATCCACTTGCCTCGGCCACCCAAAGTGCTGGGATTATAGGCTGAGGCACCAAGCTCAGCAAAGACCTCCACCTTTCAATGGGAGTAGTGTCAAAAAATTGGGGTTGCACTTCTAGAGCACTCCTTAGGACAGATGGCAGGTTATGCCCTTCAAGAGAAAACCAAACTGGAACTTAGTCTAGTAGGAGGAGTCAGACAATAAATAAAAGACCCAAAGAAGTCTGAAGGGAGATTTAGCCCAGTCTCTGCTGACCTTCTGTGAAAGAGAAAGTGTCTGTGAGGAAGTGGTATTTGAGCTGAAACCTAGTAGGATAACTAGGAGGCACTTAGCAAAAGGGGTCAGAGCTGGTAAGCTGGAAGGGATACAGTAAGTCCCCTACATATGAACCTTCAACTTGTGAACTTTCAAATATGCAAATGTGCATTCACATGTCCAGTCTCCTATTTCTGACGATCCTTCAGCTCTACCACCTCCTACCTCCTCTCCTCCAGTAACTCTTCTTGCCTGTTCATTCGATACCAGCCCTGTATGCTGGCTATTGTACTGTACTATACTACTGTACTTTTCCAGGTACTGTACTGTAAGGCTAAAAATGTTTATTTTTTGTTTTTTATGTGTCACATGAAAAGTATTATAAACCTATTACAGTACAGTATACAGCCAATTGTGTTAATTGGATACCTAGGCTAACTTTGTTGGACTAACAAATAAATTGAACTTACAAGTGCACTTTTAGAATGGAACTCGTTTATATATAGGGGTCATATCGTATTAGAAAGTCTATATGGGACTATAGGTGTGCCACCATGCCTGGCTTGGGTTTATTTATTTTGTACTTGGATTCATGGTAGTGCTACTCATGGAAGTGGGAGCTTCCATGCTCCTTCATTAAAAAAATCGCTGGGCTCGGTGGCTCAGCCTGTAATCCCAGCACTTTGGGAGGCTGAGGTGAGTGGATTGTCTGAGCCCGTGGGTTCGAGACCCGCCTGGGCAACTTGGCGAGACCTCATCTCTACAATAAACCAAAAAATTAGCCAGGTATGGTGGCACATGCCTGTGGTCCCAGCTACTTGTAAGGCTGAGGTGGAAGGATCGCCGGAGCCCAGCAGGTCAAGGATGTGGTCAAGGATGTGGTGGCCATGAGCATGTTTTTTGAGACTCCAACTCAAAAAACAAAGATCCTTTTGACTCAGTTACATTTGTTAGGGATTTCCGTGATCCCCTTGGTCTCCCTTTTGACACTCATCCCATGGAGAACACAGTCTAAAGCCTGGCCTCCCTATTGAGCGTGAGTTCCAGGGGCCTTGGTGCTGGGCCTCACTTGTTCCCTGACCCCCATCCCCAAAGCACAGCTCACCTGACACGTTGTAAGTTCTCAGCTGAATTGACTCTCATCTCACTTTTTTTTTTTTCTTTTTTTTTGAGTTGGAGTCTCACTCAGTCGCCCAGACCGGAGTGCAGTGGCCACTCCCGGCCACCGCAGCCTCGACCTGCGGGGCTCCGGCGATCCTTCCGCCTCAGCCTTCCAAGTAGCTGGAACTACAGGCGTGCGCTACCACGCCCGGCTCATTTTGATTTATTGTAGAGGTGAGGTCTCGCCAAGTCGCCCAGGCAGGTCTCGAACCCGCGGGCTCAAGCAATTCACTCACCTCGGCCTCCCAAAGTGCGGGATTATAGGCTGAGCCACCGAGCCTGGCCCATCTCACTTTTTTCAAATGAAAGCTATCATGACCCATTGGGATCATGTAAATATCATGTACCATATTTTAAAGCAAGACTTTCCTAAATATGGGCCACTGAGAACAAAGCCAGCAAGGAGCTGGGATAACACCTAGCTTTCTGATGCTTAGTTTGATCTGTAGGGTGGCTGCGATATGCTGCAGCTGCTATCTGAGAGAATATGGACTTACCGACGAACCAGCGCTACCTGCTGTTGTGCACACAAGCAATCCGACTGACAGGCTAGGGAAGGCTGGAGCAGAAGTCAGCACCTTCTCTGGTCTGCAGTGGCTCCCAGGGAGTCAAGCAATGTGCGGTATCCGTGAACCCCATGGGCCAAGGTCAAAGAATGAGGAATAACAGTCATTCTTTTTATATAAAATCATTTAATGTTTTTCTTTGTTAAATTACACTCAATCCAGATGCAGTGGATCAGGTGACCAGATTTTTCAGAAGTCTTACTCCAGCAGGAGCTCATTCCATCTGTGTCATTCCTGGCTCTGGATACAAAACGGTCACATCTTTAACTCCAGGCCCTGAGTGTGACGCCAATGATGTCATCAATATCAAAACACATGGGCATACACTTACCTGGTGGTCACTGCATGAGGTGCCAATAATGCAGGCTCAAAAAATAAGATGTTTCATAACTTGGCCCTCTCCAAAAATAAATATATTAGAACACTAAGCTTACATCTTAAATGAGTCGAACATAAATACAAACTAAATGCTGGCTCCTGTGAGGAGCAGTGCATGCAGACAGTGAACTTGCATGTGTGGCTGTAGTAACAAAGTTGCCTCCTCACAAAGCCAGTTCCGAGTCTGAGGATGGAATGAGAATGATTCCGAGCTTGGCCAGGCTGTGAGCCTCCGTGTTCTGGTGGGTTTGGAGTTCACCATAATTTCGAATGGTTTCCAACAGAAAGCATAGCAATGGCATTTTCTTTCTGGTCCCCTCTCCCATGCTGTGGGGCTGGAGCTGATCCTAGAAGTTCTCTGGCTTGTGCAGACGAACCCCACGGTTGCTAATCTGGGGACATGGGTTCCTTCAGGCTCCAGTGTTCTTTGTGATGGAAAGAATTTTGCTCCTCCCTCCTCCCTGCTGATCACACAGCACAGAGACCATCTTCCTTGGAATGAAAGCTTCAGCTTGGGCCTCAAGCCCTGTTTTTGAGCCCCACTCCCATCACATGCATATCCAGTCAGCAGTAATGCTCAGAAGAACAGTCTAGAGCTGTGTGCCAACCTCTGACAGCAAGAATAAGCCTTACCTAAAGAGTTTATACATGATCAGCAAGTCTTCCAAAGGATGTAGCAAGAGGAAAAAGCTTATTTTACCACATGCAGACAACCATCTACAACATAACCCAGGAAACGATAGTTTAACAATATTCTGGATAGTACCAAATACATTAAACTATCCCTCAACCAAAAGCAAATATAGTTCCCTTGAGAGAAACCAGATGTGAGTGCTGTGGTCTACTGGTAATAAACAAAACAGTTCCATCAGTGCTATAAAAACAGACAGAAGACATGACGTTGAGTGGAGTTAGTTACTGTTGCCTCTACTTAGTGTCATCACAGACAACTCACTGTTGCCATAAGGTCATAAATTGTGTGACTACGGGATTCCTAGGGATCTAGAACAGGGCCTAGTAACCTGTCAGCTGGGTTTCATTATGGTCCTTTTTTCTTTTTTTTTTGAGTTGGAGTCTCACTCTGTCGCCCAGACTGGAGTGCAGTGGCTGCTCCTGGCCACCGCAGCCTCGACTTGCTGGGCTCCGGCGATCCTTCCGCCTCAGCCTTCTAGCAGAGTTGGGGCTGGGGAGAGGAGAGCTTTGATTTTTATGTATATAGGAAAACAACTTTCCAGAAGCCTGTTTGGCCCATGGGCACATTTTACAATATAATGTCCCCCAGTCACTTAAAAAAGCTTCCCAAAACCAGGATAGACCTAGTTGAGCAGCAAAATCTCTTTCCAGAAATGCTACCCTTCCCTACAACTGAGCAGTTGTCCCCTACTAGCTACCACAGATGAACCCATTTCCCGACTCTGTGGAACACCTGCATGTGGAACCATGCCAAGCACTTCTGTCTACATTATGGTCATGCAATGGAATGGAGAAACTTTACTTTGGAAATCAATTTTATTTTATTTATTTATTTTTGAGTTGGAGTCTCACTCTGTCACCCAGACTGGAGTGCAGTGGCACGCTTCTGGCCACCACAGCCTCGACCTGCTGGGCTCCGGAGATCCTTCCACCTCAGCCTTCCGAGTAGCTGGAACTACAGGTGCACGCTACCACGCCCGGCTACTTTTTTGATTTATTGTAGAGATGAGGTCTCACCTAGTTGCCCAGGCGGGTCTCGAACCCACAGGCTCAGGCAATCCACTCGCCTCAGCCTCCCAAAGCACGGGATTACAGGCTGAGCCACCGAGCCCGGCTGGAAATCAATTTTAATGGAGACTCTCTTTCCAACAGAAACTCTTCTTCCAACCTGTAGAAAACACGGAGTGCTGACTACAGTCACCTACTGATGCTTCCAAGTTCAGAGATTCATGATACTCTGGGCAGCTCAATCCTGGCAACTCACCTCCACAGGAAGGCTGGGAACCACACAGCCCAGGCAGTGACTCAGCTCTTCCTTGTCACGAGTGGAAGAACTACCTGCCTTTGAAGGACCTGCTTCCTGAAGACCAGCAGGGACATTGTCCTGAATGGAAGTAGGACTGCCATAGAAAGGATGCAGGGTCATGGGCAGGAGCGGGGTCTGGGTAACAGAGGCATCCTTGGGAAAGACTCTGCTTTGCCCAGTCTGGCAAAAATCACCTGAGAAATGAGGACGATCTCTCACACCCTCTACTTGATATTCAGCCTACCATCTAGCTCCGCCACTGCCAGTTGTATGACCTAAGTCAACCACTCATCTTCACTGTGTCAGCATTCTCATTCACAAAACCAGAGCTAATACATGCACTCCACAGAGTTGGGAGGAGAAATAAGAAAATAAAGCCGAGCATAGTGGCTCATGCCTGTAATCCCAGCACTCTGGGAGACAGAGGCGAGAGGACTGCTTGAGCCTGCAGGTTCGTGACCAGCCTGGGCAACTTGGTGAGACCTCGTCTCTATAATAAATCAGGAAAAATTAGCTGGGTATGATAGCACATGCCTGTGGTTCTGGTACTTGGAAGGCTGAGGTGGAAGGATTGTCTGAGTCTAGCAGGTCGAGGCTGCAGTGGTCATGAGCATGTGACTGCACTCCAGTCTGGGTGGCAGAGTAAGACTCTGACTCAAAAAAAAAAAAGAAAAGAAAAGATATGGGAGAGTCCCTGGTTTGCAGGAGGCACTCAATAAACGATGAATGAGTAAAAAAGCATCTCATATCACAAGCTGTAGGGCACAGGCTTAAACAAAACGATTGTGGTGGCCAGTGCTAGACCCCCATATCCACAGAGAAAGCTCTCTTTCATCTCTAGACTCGAGCAGATGGCCTGAATGGCCAGCAATGCCTCCTCTGGTCTGACCTGTGCCACTGTGGGTAGGAACTCAGCTCAGGTGATGATACCACATGATAATACAGAGGGGAAATGGCAAAAAGAACATTCCCTGGGCTCTATGAAAGACTTGGAAATCTGCACTGAGGAACTGAGACTCAGTCTTGCATTTTACCTGCACCCCAGCCTCCTGATGCTAAGTTGTCCACTGAAATTTTTTTTTTTTTTGAGTTGGAGTCTCACTCTGCTGCCCAGGCTGGAGTGCAGTGGCACACTTACAGCCACCCCAACGTTGATCTGCTGGGCTCCAGCGATCCTTCCACCTCAGCCTTCCAAGTAGCCGGAACTACAGGCCTGCACTACCACGCCCAACTGTTTTTTTATTTATTGTAGAGACCAGGTCTCGCCAAGTTGCCCAGGCTGGTCTCGAACCCATGGGCTCAGGCAATCCACTCACCTTGGCCCCCCAGAGTGCTGGGATTACAGACTGAGCGACCGAGCCTGGTCCACTGAAATTTTTCACAGCTAAGTAGTTTTCAATTTCTAGACTAAGAGAGAGGGTTAAGGGAATAAAAGAACCTTATATCAGGCCATTTGCCAATGCTACCAACTGAACAGAGATTGGGATAATAGAAAACTATTGACTACAATTGTTTAAATTTCTCCATATTCCCCTAGGAAATGGGAAGTTGAGGGGGAACATGTTCCAAAGGCTGCGTCTTGGGGAGATGATGCCATAATGGAAGGAGAGGAAGAGGTGTGAATCTTGGCAGACATTGTAAATAACTCATGTTAAGCTGCTCAGGCTAAGCCTAGGAAGGCCCAGGTATCAAGTCTTCACTGAAGAAGGGAAGAAGGAAGAAAACATGGGTCTTCTCTGGGATTCCCGAGCTACATTCCTAGAGGCAGGGAGGGCGTGGAGGAGGAACACGAATCAGATGCTTTGCCATCAGTGAATGCAGATGAGCCGCTCCTGGCCTGTGGAGTCACTTCCCAGGAAGGGCTCAGTGACGACAAGTCTGGCTCCGTGCTCACGCTCCTTCCAAGTTAGCATATGGTAAGATGTTCATCACTTCCTAATTTTGTATTATCAAATGAATTAGGAACATAAACAGGAACAGGTAGCAAAACCCCAACTCTGCAGAGAACCATGGTCCTCTCAGCCACCTCTGCGCAGGCCAATGAGTTTGGAAAGTTTTCCACAGTTCTCAAGTTTCAGCGACTCTGCTTTCTGTTTCAGTCGCTCATCTCTGTATAATCCTGCCAAGTTCGTCAGCTCTGACTCTGAAAGACAAAAGGGGGGCCCATTCATCAGGACTTGAGTTCCTTTGCTTCATTTCAATACTTCGGAATCAAAGCTCCTTTTGCATCGTTTGGTGCTTTTTCTTTCATGACAATTCAAAAACTGTTTACTCATGTATTCAAGAAACACATCATAGGCCCTGGACCAGGTGCTGAGGATTAAAAGCCACCTGTGACCCTGCAGTCCTACAGTATCTGTGCTGCCTTACAAAAGCACTTGTCTTCGTTCTTTCCAATAAGCATTTGGCATAAGAGTTAGGGAATCTGCACGTGTGCAGTAAGAGGAGCCTGCTTCACAGCCTCCCTGCCAATGAGAGCCCGACAGCAGGTGGGAGAAAATGGAGACCAGCCGCCTAGTCCTATCATCTGAAACGGCCAGCTGTTTCATGCTTTCCCCTGCATGCGGCATCCTGATGCATGCGTGCTAACGGACACAGAGCCTACCCCTGGGGGGTACTGCTTCTGCAGAAGGCCAGGGTGCTGCCAGCTTCTTTTTCTTACCACATGTGGGGTCCTCAGCTCAAAGGACAAAGGCTGATGGGCTCTTTTAGAAGTGAAATCATTTGGATCCGGTGACCCTTGTCTCCTTGACTAAATGAATTTCATTTTCTCTTCATGGTGGAGAAGGTCATTCTATTTTTAACCAGAATATAATCTCTGCTGTGTTTCCCGACTCAACAGTGGTTTGGCTGCTCCTATTTTGTGTTCTTTTGTGAGGTTTCAGAGACATTCTTGGGGAAGAATGCCTGAAAGGTACCTTCAGAGATGTGTTGCATATTAGCAGGATGGCAGGCTGGGGCAGGGCATGTGGCTTCTGAGAGCCTCCAACATCAAGTAGCTACTCCATATTTAAAGGACCATACTTGGGAAATGCTACTTTAATCATTTTGAAATATGCCTATCAGTTCTTAAATCGTTTTGCTGACATTTTATTTGTCATGGTGGAACGAGAGGCACCTGTCTGATTAATCAGGAAACTGCCTGGAAACAGGAATTAATGTTTAGCTAGGGGAACAATGGGCATTGCTTTATGAATAAGTTTCCATCAACTCAAAATACTGCTCACAATGATTCTATTTACCCCAAGCAAGGCCCAAAGTGCGGATTGAGTGTGGGACTCCAGGGTGAGGGGTGGATGTGCATGAGAACCTTCCTCTACGTTGGGGTTGTGGAGCCTGGGTGGAGCCAGTTGTTTGGCAAACAGTGGGCTCCAGAACAATGTGCTGACCCCTCGGTGAGGGCACCAGTGGTGCCTGCTAGCCAGGGCCTGCCATGCAGATGATGGGGATCAGTGAAAGCTCTCTGCTCCTGTGTCCTGCCCAGAGCCGGCACTAACCCCTTTTCTCGGCTTCTCTGGCATGTGGGAAACCTGTTCAAGAGACCGCCATGACATCACTCTGTCCTTTTAGTCCTTTGGAGTCACAGTTACACCAGTACTCAGCTGAGGCAGGAGGATTGCTTGAGACCAGGAGTTTGAGACCAGTCTGGGCAACATAGCAAGACCTTGTCTCTACAAAAAAAATAAAATTTAACTGGGTGTGGCCAGGTGTGTTGGTTCACACCTATAATCCCAGCACTTTGGGAGGCTGAGGTAAGAGGATTGCCTGAGCCCACGGGTTCAAGACCAGTCTGGGCAATTCGGTGAGACCTCAAAAAATCAAAAAATTAGCCGGGTGTGGTGGTGCATGCCTATAGTCTCCGCTACTTGGAAGGCTGAGGTAGAAGGATCGCCTGAGTCCAGCAGGTCGAGGCTGCGGTGGCCATGAGCGTGCCACTGCACTCCAGCCTTGGCGACAGAGTGAGAGGCTCGGACTCGGGAAAAAAAAGAAAGGGAGACAAAAGTGAAAGCTATAAAAGCACAAAAGAACATGTAGTTAAAAGTGAGCCTTCCAGGCCAGGCATGGTGGCTCAAGTCCATAATCCTGGCACTTTGGGAGGCCAAGATGAGAGGATTGCCTGAGCCCATGGGTTCAAGACCAGCCTGGGCAACTTGGTGAGACCTCATCTCTACAATCAATTAAAAAAAGGTGGAAGGATCACCTGAGACCCACAAGTCGAGGCTGCAGTGGCCGTGAGCATGCCACTGTGCTCTAGCCTGGGCGACAGAGTAAGGCTCCAACTCATAAAAAAAAAAAATCTTTGGGAGGGGCAGGATCAAGAGAATACCTTTCCTTTTTTTTTTTTTTTTTTT